CATGGTCATCTTTATCCTACAAATCAGAACAATGAAAATGAAACAAAGTTCAGGTACCCAATAAATTAATCGCTTTTTGTGTCTTACAAAAGGAATCCCAGAAAACGTAGTGAAATGGCAACAAGTGCTTGAATGTTCAACATCACTATAATTTCGCAATCGTAAATTTTACTTGCCATTCAGACGAGTAGAATTACTGGTCGGGGACCATCAACCGGACACTTTTTTAACATTTTTCCGTACAGATTTCATCATTTTTAATCTAGAGAACCAAAAAATTTGACACAGTTCAGCTAGGTTCTACTCCTAACTAACAAACTAGTTTGTTTATTTCTGATTGTATTGACACTTATATCTGAGGCTTGACAAGGAGGGTATCAAAATTACCTAAATTGTCCACACTACAGTACCATGTGTCCGGACAGATATGTACATGATGTGATTTAATTCAGACAAAAGCTTGGGTGTTTTTAATTTTTGATTTGTAACATGATATACAATATGTCTGCAACAACTGCTGAAGTTTTGGATATTTCTATCATTCACTCCGCAAATATTTATAGCTGGTATATGAGGTCAGGCATTGCTTTCTTGACCCCCGAATTTCAACGTCAACATTCTTGAAATAGACATTCAAATATTACCATTTACGGAAGTTGAAATAAATTTATTTACTTAATTTTATTAGAAACATGCACTTATTGTTGATAAAAAAGTGACTGACAACCACTGAACAAATAAATACTAAATTAAGCATTTTCGGGGCCGTCCGGGTTTGGTGGTTGTCCGGTTTTGGTGGTCCCCAACCAGTATGGAAATTTCAGTCACATAAATTTTTATTTTACTTGCCAGGGCGACACAAATTTTGATTTTACTCGCAAGTGAGATCGGGCAAGTGCTAATGACTAAGACTATTCTTATTTTAATGTCTCACGAAGTGTGACTGACATAAAATATTCCATTTTCTGACTCCTTAATCAGTGTGATGTTTAGCATAAAATTTCACTCAAACATTGCTACCTTTCCCTGTGACTTAAATCTACATTAATTTGACGTCACTTCCCCTATAGATCAACATAATAAAGTCATTTTCAAAAGAAATTTAACTGCATACAACCAGAGTTAAAAACATCAACACAAACTTGTGAATTTCATGACCTGCCCCCCCCCCCCCCCTTTAAACTAGAAGAATGCCAAATTCTTCTGGAATATAGATCTATTTCATGTACATTTTAATACCACTTGAACATCTTTTTCAGTTTAAAAAATCTTTTAAAGATTCGATAGCAGATTTGAAATTGAATCATGCAATGCAATGCAACAGTGCCAACACCATGATATCGTGACTGTTAGCTATACTGCTAAATCAGATAACACGTTAGCTTGCATTATTGTCATGTGTCTACTGTATACTAGATCTATTAATTACTATTAAATCAAAAGAAAGAGCAAGTAAAATCTATATTATTTACCTGATTTAACTCAAAGAAATAAAACGTCACCCGTCCCACCCATCAACTAAAAGAAAAGTAGCGCGATCATAAGTATGACGTCATGTGCGTCATTCTTAAAGTATGTACGTCATGCGCGTTTTGCAAGTGCGGCTTTGACTTTTTGGCGGTAAATTGACGGGCCGCTTACGAAACTAAAAAAAGAATATCATTGCAAAACAAAACGCCATTTATTGTAAGTTATTCGCGGACATTTTGTTCTTTATTTTAAACGAATTCGTTTACAAAAATTTTATGTGTATTAAGTATATGAACTATTTTTCTTTAGCAATACCACATGAAGTTTTGATCTCTTTTTTTTAATATGAGAAGATACATTTTCGGACAGCGAAAATTTCGGATATACTTTTTTTTTAATTATTACATTTAACTACGATATAACAAAGGGATATAACAATTAAAATATAAATAAATAGATCAGATACCGGGGTCTTAACCAATAGTATATTATTCAGTAATAGTAGGCTCATTCCGTATTTGTTGTACATTAATTAGTCATTATTGTAAAATAATTAAATTATAGACGGTGAAAATCGTATTCATTATAATGTATCGTGGACTAACCAGTTTTCAAACCTCTAAGCATTCAAGAGGTCTTTTAATGTAAATAAAAATATATCTTTATAAAAATTCTTTACATATATATGTTCACTTTAATCTTTATGTAACATTTCTGTAAAATTTGACTGAAATTCAACTATTAAAAAAGCTCTATTTCCATCTTGGAAAAAGCACAACCCTCTGTTTTAAAACTAACATGGCCTCTTAAAATAAAGAACCTAATCTCATAACCCCTTTCAAGTATCTCTAAAATTTTACTGTTTAGTTTTAGCCAATGAAGTGATTGTTATATGACTATCACATAACAATGAAGTACCCTACACGATGCTGTTACCTGCTTTTACATATTTATGACTATAATATTCATTTTCACAAATAGTTAATGGTGCATTTATGGGACTTACAAAGGTAATAGCAATTTGTATGAAATTACGCTAAGTAATAAAATATGTTACAGTGGAACCTGTCTAATCCGAACTCGTCCGGACCTGAAGAAAAGTTCGGATTAGAAAGGTTTCCGGATTAGAAAGGTTTCCGTATGAGGAGGTTTTTTACGTGTTTTTTTTTTCATGTTATTTGCAAATAGTTTAAGGAAAGAAAACGGGAATGCATTTGAAATTGCAATTTAGATATTTTATTATTGCAGTCTCTTATCGTTCATTTTACTACATGTGAATACAAAAATAAAGAAATTAAAATAAATCAATAAGCAAAAATATTATGTCCTCCAGGGTTAGTTAATCCACGATGTTAAACAGGAGGCCGAGACATGATTTGATATTCGTACCAGCATTTTTCAGTTGTTGTTTACTCGTATCCGATTCAGCGACTATCCGAATTCACTGACAGTTTCCATATATTTCATTACTTAATCACGTATCATTGAATCCTATACAAAGGATTAAAAGATATTTCTATTTCATTATATCAAAATATTTAAAGAAGCTGATGAAAAACAATCAATTAAGCAATTATAGAAGATATCAAGGCAAGCTAAGTGTAATTTTCACACCTTCGCATATCATATGTTTCACCCATTAATCAAGCGAAATAACACTTATCAGTTTGGTGTATGTTTACACCTGTAATATGTGCGATTATTTGTTATTTTGAATGAAGGTGTGACATTTGGCAAAATCTGTTCGGATCTGAGAGGTAAATTTTAGAGTAAAATAAGAACAAAAATTGAAAAAATCGTCCGGAATTCAGAGTAGACAGGTTCCGGATCCGAAAGGTTTTTTACTATTGAAAATAGAACGAATAAAATCGGGACCGGACACTTCGTTCGGATAAGAAAGGATTCCGGATTAGAAGGGTTCGGATTAGCAAGGCTCCACTGTATATAAATATTTGTTCCTATGCACTGTTTTCATTTGACATCAGCAGACATGTCTGTCAGAAACTAAGCTTTTATGCACACAAGTTCAGGACATCATAGTCACTTCTAGTAAAAAAATAACCGCACATGAATGAAAGGTTTGAGAATAGGTTGGGTGTGAGATTAGGTACTTATACGATATAAATTGTCCGAATAAAATTACTCTGATTGTAAAGGTTTAACTTATTAGTTCCAGAATGAGCAAAGCTGGAGAGAAAAACACACTGAAAAGAAAACACCAAGCACCATTTAAATCACCGGTATGTTATTTTAGATTGTAATGACTGGCAGTGAATGGTTAAAATGCATGTTGGGGAAGTAGCGCCACCCTTAATTTTGGATGTAAATTATACAGTATATTTGCAAAAGGGGAATAAAAAAAACTAAATGTTACAAGATTCAATTTCTTGGGGAAACTGCAAAAATGTAAAAGCAGTCTTTTTAGCTCACCTGTCACAAAGTGACAGGGTGAGCTTTTGTGATCGCTTTTCGTCCGGCGTCCATCTGTCTGTGCGTCCGGCGTCCGTCCGTAAACTTTTGCTTTAAATGACATCTCCTCATTAACCACTGAGCCAATTTCATCCAAACTTCACAGGAATGTTCCTTTGGTGGTCACCTTTAAAAATTGTTCAAAGAATTTAATTCCATGCAGAACTCTGGTTGCCATGGCAACCGAAAGAAAAATCTTTAAATATCTTCTTTTAAACAACCCTAAGAGCTAGAGCTTAGATATTTGGCATGAAACATCTTCTAGTGTGTGTCTACCAACTTGTTCAAATAAAAGCCCTGGGGTCAAAATTGGCCCCGCCCCAGGGGGTCATTGATTTTCCCTATATGCATATAGTAAAAACTTAAAAATCTTCTTTTAAAGAACCCAAAGAGCTAGAGCTAAGATATTTGGCATGAAACATCTTCTAGTGAGTGTCTACCAAATTTGTTCAAATAAAAGCCCCGGGGTCAAAATTGGCCCCGCCCCGGGGGGGAGGTCATTGATTTTCCCTATATGCATATAGTAAAAACTTAAAAAATCTTAATTTAAAGAACCGTAAGAGCTAGAGCTTAGATATTAAGCATGAAACATCTTCTAGTGAATGTCTACCAAGTTTGTTCAAATAAAAGCCCTGGGGTCAAAATTGGCCCCGCCCCAGGGGGTCATTGATTTTCCCTATATGCAAAAAGTAAAAACTTAAAAAATCTTCTTTTAAAGAACCCAAAGAGCTAGAGCTAAGATATTAAGCATGAAACATCTTCTAGTGAGTGTTTACCAAGTTTGTTCAAATAAAAGCCCTGGGGTCAAAATTGGCCCCGCCCCGGGGGGTCATTGATTTTCCCTATATGCATATAGTAAAAACTTAAAAAATCTTGTTTTAAAGAACCCAAAGAGCTAGAGCTAAGATATTTAGCATGAAACATCTTCTAATGAGTGTCTACCAAGTTTGTTCAAATAAAAGCCCTGGGGTCAAAATTGGCCCCGCCCCGGGGATCATTGATTTTCCCTTTATGCATATAGTAAAAACTTAAAAAATCTTCTTTTAAAGAACTCAATAAGCTAGAGCTAAGATATTTAGCATGAAACATGTTCTAATGGGTGTCTACCAAGTATGTTCAAATAAAAGCCCTGGGGTCAAAACTGGCCCCGCACGGGGGTCATTGATTTTCCTTATATGTGTATAGCAAAAACTTAAAAATCTTCTTTGAAAAAACCCAAATAGCTAGAGTTTAGATATTAAGCATGAAACATCTTTAAGTAAATATCTACAAAGTTTGTTCAAATAAAAGCCCTGGGGTCAAAACTGGCCCTGCCCCAGGGGTGTCATTGTTTTTAACTATATGTGTATAGTAAAAACTTTAAAAATCTTCTTTTAAAAAACCCAATGAGCTAGAACTTAGCATGAAACATCTTCTTATGGGTGTCTACCAAGTCTGTTCAAATAAACAAATAAAAACCCTTGGGTAAAAATTGGCCCGGGGGTGGGGGGGGCCTATATACAGGTGAGCGACCTCAGGGCCATCATGGCCCTCTTGTTTGGAGAAGCCGCCCTTAAACGGCCCCTGCTGTAGAAGAAAAAAAGCCCATAAATGCCACTAATTAAGAATGATAATTAGTCTTACAGTCACATAATGACTTAGTCTTAGTGTCACATTATGTAGCCAATTAGTTTTGTTGCGAATGGTTTGTTTGACACATTTATACAGAGTGAGTCTGAGTGAGACCTTTTTTTACCAACTGTGAAACCAAAAAAATATTGCTCGTCCAAATATCTCAATGTGACTCCCTTTGACAGACTAATGCACATACTGTTGGATAATAGCTCTTAAGGTGACAACGGACACTTTTCGTGGTACTCACATAAATGTCATTTAAACCAACTTATTTTAGTAATAATTGTTATTTATGTAATCTTTGTGCATTAAATGTCGTTGATCATCATAAAAAATAACATATTTGAAGAAAATGCCTTTGTAAATGATTGATTTTCAATAAAAATCCAAAAATTTTAAATCGTCATATCAAAGTCATTTTTTATTTTTTTGTCATCAAACTTTTGGAAAATAAACATACTTATAATATCTGGGGAACCGTGTCTCAAATTTTTTCTATCTTTTCTCAAAAAAATATTACGTAACGTCAAACATTTTATGCGACTTTTTTCACCATACATATTACGTAATTAAAGATAATTAAGCCGCTGATAGAGCAAACAAAAATCCCTGACACGGTTCCCTCCGTAATTGAATTCCCTTTCATGACATCATGTGCTTTAAACCGCATGTTAATTGCTTGATTATTAAAAAAGTTATGCCGATTCAAAGTTAGTCCGACTCGCATCAAACGAAGTGTCATAAATCGGCTGTTCTCTCTCGGACCCCTACGTTTCACGCTAAATAATTGCATAATACACAAATATCGCACCAGAGAGGGTCACAAATTGCGGTAACATACTCTAACAACATTTTATGACCCAGTGACATCTGACCAATTAAAAAGTTGCAGATTAATATCAGTTTATAACAGAAATTTCTTCAAATCTTAACGTGATTTACCATCCGTCTGGTATCGGTCGCACATGTCACGTGACTTTCGGTAAAATTTGAGGCACTCGGTGGGGGAAATGGAACGTATTTGCGCACCGCTAGCGGGTATTTAATTGTTTCACTTTTGAATATCATCAGCATTATTATTATATTATACCAGTGTCACTCTGATTCGTTTTTACGAAATTCCGTTAAAATATAAATTAAAATAACAAAAAACTGAGCTTCTGACGGTCTTTTAAAGTCCATGGTAGATGTACAAATAAGAACGGGATATTATATATTTTTTCCTCCAAATTGATATAAATGCTTAACATATTTTTATAGAAATAAAAGGTATCACTAGATCATTATGATCTGACATTCTTTACTTCTATTATCATGAATATCATCTATGCATCTAAGCACGGCATAAAGATCCATTTTCTACTGGGATATACAATAAATTCTATACTTTGTCCCAGGTTTATTTAGTACTGTGTTTCGATTTACTGGCGAACAATTTATTCAAACCATTCACTGATAATATATTTTATTATCTTTTTTTTATTGATTCATAGAGAAAAATAATCATCCTTAGACAACCTAAAATGGTTTAGAAATTTGTCAGGGACACCTTACCACAAGTCATATAGGCGTTCACATAAAAAAATGTTGTCTGTTTTTGCTGTTGTTTTGTTAGAAAACGATGTTGAATGTAAAGCAAGCCCTTGAATCCGTACAAAGTCCATAAACTCAATGTAATATCTATCAGATTAACGGGTCAGACAAATTATTTTCACACATTATGGATATTTTAGCAACTATATTTTTTATAACCCCGTGGTTGTGCGATTTACCGCTATGCTTAACTATTTATGTTTCATACATTATGTTTCATACATTATGTTACGTACATTGGCCGACAATTTCTTATTTTATAAAAAAGGCTTAATAAAAGGTAGACGATATTCGTATTTGTACGATACATGAATTACGAGTAGTATGGACCAGTATGGACCGGTAATTCACGCATATATGGAACTACCGATTTCCCTCATTGATGCCTCAACAGGGGGCGGAGCATTATCGATAATTGACAGGTTACGCGAATAGCAGATAAAAATGGTGCAGGTACCGTTTTAAACGTTTAAAAACACATTTTTTGGACTAACTGCTTCCAAAATTAAATCACGAATGTGTTCAGAAAAGATGGATAAATCTACTAAGCAAAAAATCTCATTTTAGGTATTTTCAGTGATAATTGACTCCGTTGTCACCTTAAGTAATAATTAAAGGCAACCAGTATTTAGAGACCTTGACCTATCTGTTCAATAAAGACTTACAATGAAATTTCTGATTAAAATGTTATGTATCATTAATGTTTTCAAAATATATGCATCAGAAAGAAATTGTAAATTTTAATGGCAATACATTTGAAAATAAAATTTATGATAAAAATAGATACATGCAATGAAAAATAAAATCAGAGACACTATATTGTAACATGTAGTTACTATCTTATCTTATATGTCTGTGTCATAAAAATTTAATTAAAGTTCAACATTATTGTCATTTTTGTTATATTTAACTGCACTGTGCCATAGAAAATTATTATCCTGCATTCCAAATTGTTATCTGGCTTATGAGTTAAATATAACAGGAATTTAATAACCAAATATTTGTTTTCTTTTCCTTATTTGATGTATACAATAATTATGTTGTCAGATTTTCCCTATTCGTCTAAAATATACATCATAAAAATTCCCAATTCTGGGGTCGTGTCATGTTCCTTGAAGTGCTGTGAAGAAATCCTGAATCTCTTTGTTTTTAAATAAATGCTATAAATTATTAAACAATACTTTGAATTATATAATTTAAATAAAAGAAGTTATAATATATGCACCAATTGGTTTCAAGGTTGCAAGTCAGTACCATGATAGTGATTTGTATTGCATTGCCACGTAGTTATCATGCTATGCATGGCAATTCATTTGCTTCTGTAATACATGTCTCTGATTGAATTGGTTGAAAAAAAAATAGTGATAATTTATAATGTACTGTGATAGAAAATAAGTTGAATTACTCATTCAAAGTAATTGAATTAAAAATGTTGAAAAGTTTTCACATTTAGTAAGGAAGCTATCAATTAAGGTAGCTAATGTTATACTGAATGTTGGTGGTTCTATTCAAGTGCCGTCTTATGCCAGAAAAAAAATGCCCATTATGGACACTTGAGGTATTTTTCAACCAGTAAAGCTGGAAAGTTGCCATATGACCTTTATTATGCTCGCCCATATGGTTCATTCTGGTGGCGAGGGTAAAATTATTAAAACCAAATACTCATTATACACACATGACCTTTACAGTGTTGGTGCGACTTAAAAACCCAATCAATCGTATCAATACAGCTGAGCTGTTTATACTGAGACATATTACTGCAAAATCATTATTTTTTGTTGGGCACTAATTTCTGTGGATTTTTTGGTCAAAAAATTTATAAAGATAAAGGAAAAATTTTCATTTCATCTTCTCTTAGATAATATTTTGCATCATATTACCTTTTGGCACAAATTTAACAATCAACAAAAATGTTCTTTGTGACAAAACCCCAAAATTTCATGCGCATCAAAAATAGATTAATGATTTTGCAGGTAACCTGTTAAAAATCTCCATAACTGATGATATAACATGGAATAGTTTCAGAAAGATGCAGCTAGTAGGGTGTCAGAAGGTGATCAGCAGACTGTTGACCTGGTGAAAGATAAGTTAAAAATGGTGGACAAGGAGATTGAAGACTTGAAGTCACAGTATGTATCTTTAGGAAGAAGGATTTCAGCTATAATGAAAATTGCTCACTTTTGTCTTAAAATTGTATTGAGATTATACACAGTGTACTAGGTTTGATAAAATTACAGATTTCCATCATAAAATTGTATTGAGATTATACTAAGTTTGATAAAATTACAGATTTCCATCATAAAATTGTATTGAGATTATACTAGGTTTGATAAAATTACAGATTTCCATCATAAAATTGTATTGAGATTATACTAGGTTTGATGAAATTACAGATTTTCATCATAAAATTGTATTGAGATTATACTAGGTTTGATGAAATTACAGACTTTCATCATAAAATTGTATTGAGAATATACTAGGTTTGATAAAATTACAGACTTTCATCAAAAAATTGTATTGAGAATATACTAGGTTTGATAAAATTACAGACTTTCATCAAAAAATTGTATTGAGATTATACTAGGTTTGATAAAATTACAGACTTTCATCAAAAAATTGTATTGAGATTATACTAGGTTTGATAAAATTACAGATTTCCATCAAAAAATTGTATTGAGATTATACTAGGTTTGATGAAATTACAGATTTCCATCATAAAATTGTATTGAGATTATACTAGGTTTGATGAAATTACAGATTTTCATCATAAAATTGTATTGAGATTATACTAGGTTTGATGAAATTACAGACTTTCATCATAAAATTGTATTGAGATTATACTAGGTTTGATGAAATTACAGACTTTCATCATAAAATTGTATTGAGAATATACTAGGTTTGATAAAATTACAGATTTCCATCATAAAATTGTATTGAGATTATACTAGGTTTGATAAAATTACAGACTTTCATCATAAAATTGTATTGAGATTATACTAGGTTTGATAAAATTACAGATTTCCATCAAAAATTGTATTGAGATTATACTAGGTTTGATAAAATTACAGATTTCCATCATAAAATTGTATTGAGATTATACTAGGTTTGATAAAATTACAGACTTTCATCAAAAAATTGTATTGAGATTATACTAGGTTTGATAAAATTACAGATTTCCATCATAAAATTGTATTGAGATTATACTAGGTTTGATAAAATTACAGATTTCCATCATAAAATTGTATTGAGATTATACTAGGTTTGATAAAATTACAGACTTTCATCATAAAATTGTATTGAGATTATACTAGGTTTGATAAAATTACAGACTTTCATCATAAAATTGTATTGAGATTATACTAGGTTTGATAAAATTACAGATTTCCATCATAAAATTGTATTGAGATTATACTAGGTTTGATGAAATTACAGACTTTCATCATAAAATTGTATTGAGAATATACTAGGTTTGATAAAATTACAGACTCAGTTCTTAATATCAGTAATTACTTTTAAAGGCACATTATGCCTCAGAAATAAATAATTTTTCAGTTCTTTTGATATGTCAAATTTGTGAATAAGAGCATGTTAGATGTTTAACAACTGAAGAAAGTAGTGCTGAATGTGCAGTAATGTGTCATTAAAGTAGCAAAATGTAAACAAAGTAGTATTTTGACTTCTACACAAAATAAATCACTGTAATTATACTGATTGCCATCAGAGTTATAGTTGCAAAAGATAGTCCATTGAAAATGTGTATTTCTTTGAAAACTGTAACAAGATACCAAGTTAAAAGTTTTTGAGAAATGAAATTTGTAGCATTTCTGAAGCATAATGGGCCTTCAATTGAAACAGAAAGTCTCTAAAATGCTCATTGACAACAAGTACTATTATGAAATAACTATTTTTTCTGCACCATCTATAATCATGAATTATTAATTACAAACTTCTGAATGACATTACCAACAAAGCACTATAGCTTAAAATCAAGATATATTTCAATTCTTAAACATAAGTGAAATGAAAGGGAATTAAAACTATAGCAATAATTCCAACTTGAAGTAAAGACTTTTGGTTAAAATGAATTATTTTAGCAAATATTTTGAGAATATCGCATGTTGAAAATGCCAAATTACATTCCATAACCTTGTTGTTGGCTGTAAATAATTTGAGGAAAATCGCTATAATATCTGCCATTTCTAGAATAAACTAAAAGCTTGCTCATCCTTATGTAAATGCTTAGTATATAGGAATGAAATAAGAATGGAGATTGCACAGTTGTTATATAACACAAATGTCTTTGTTTAAAGGGAGACATAGGCAAAATTTTCAATTCTTCTTTTTGAGTTTTTCATTCATCTTTCTGTATAAATAAACTAGGCAGTCTTAGGAACAAAACTTTTCTCTTTATAAAGAATAAAATGCTGGTTTCCTAACTTGACCCGCGTGGGTCAGGTTAGAGCGTTAAGATTTCACATAAGTTGCCACAGTGAACTATGGAAACGTTAAAGAACATATCAAAGTAATGACTTAGACTTGTTTCAATTATTCAATATCCACAAAATCAGTTATAATTGTAACTTCCAGGTATTGTTCAAGTCACATGGCTTGATTTAAAAAAAACTCGGTGATTATGTCGGCGGTAAATTTCGTTCAATACATCTAGATATATTTTCGCTTCAAATCCAAAATAAAAAGAATTTAAACAGACTTTCATGCTGGGACTTTAGAAAATGTCATTTTAGCGTGATTTGAGTACATTAAATCATTTTGATATTTTTGTCATTTATTTGCCTGAGTATCCCTTTAAAAGGGAATTAATCTCTTTTAGTGTTTGAATTAGGAAATATATATATATATATCAATTCTGAGTGCATTGTTGTAGAATAATGCTTGGTTCGAGTTCAAGGAATATAAAAAAATCACAAAGGCCGAGTGATTAATAACTAAGCATTTGAACGAAAAAACATGCATAATTATACCATAATGCACAAAAAATTACTATCCATTTCAATTCTAACATGCTAATAAAAAAAGGAGAATTGATAAATAAATGTTGAAGTAGAAGAAATTTTCCTTGTGTTATAAACTTTTGCTTAATTGACATCAATTTTATTTGACGTTATATGACGTGAAAGCATTCCTTTTAATGCAGTGTATATTTCATGTAACAATGCACTTGACTGCCTTATCTGTTTGATGGGGAATAGTGTGAAGCTTGTAAGAATGATTTTATCCTGCTACTGTCTATATTATCAACTGGATAAAGCCTTGCCGGATAAACTTATCTATCTCCAGTCATTACGTCATATGATGATGCCACATGGTTATCAGCAAAACAAAACTACATATAGACGCTGTTTTATCGGGGAAGGATAAAAATGAAACCATTTAAATAATCTAAAAACATAATCAAAGTAGACAAAAGCAAGAAAAATCAAAATAGACTAAAGCAGGATAAATCAAATACATGGCTGAATTGTCAGGTTAGAAGAAGGTTTATTATACCCCCAAAAACGAAGTTTGGGGGGGTATATAGGAGTCACCCGGTGGTCGGTCGGTCGGTTGGTCGGTCGGTCGGTCCAGACGTCCGTTGCATTTTCCTTGTCCGGAGCATAACTTGAAGACTAATGCTTGGAATTCAATATAACTACACACAATGGTCAAGCACATTGAGAGGAAGTGCAGTGCACAAGAACCATAACTCTATCTTGACTAATTACAGAGTTATTGCCCTTTGTTACTTTTCCTTGTCCGGGGCATAACTTGAAAACTACAGGTTGGAATTCAAAATAACTTAATACAATTGTCAAACACAATAAGGGGAAGTGCAGTGCACAAGAACCATAACTCTATCTAAAGTAATTACAGAGTTATTGCCCTTTGTTACTTTTCCATTGCTTTTTTTTGTCCGGACCATAACTTGAAGACTAATAGTTGGAATTCAATATAACTACATACAATGGTCAAGCACATTGAGAGGAAGTGCAGTGCACAAGAACCATAACTCCATCTTGATTAATTACAGAGTTATTGCCCTTTGTTACTTTTCCTTGTCCGGGGCATAACTTGAAAACTGCTGGTTGGAATTCAAAATAACTTCATACAATTGTCAAACACAATAAGGGGAAGTGCAGTGCACAAGAACCATAACTCCATATTGACTCATAACAGAGTTATTGCCCTTTGTTACTTTTCCATTGCTTTTTTGTCGGGAGCATAACTTGAAGACTAATGGATGGAATTCAATATTACTTCATACAATGTTCAAGCACATTGAGAGGAAGTGCAGTGCACAAGAACCATAACTCCATCTTGACTAATTACAGAGTTACTGCCCTTTGTTAATTTTCCTTGTCCAGAGCATGACTTGAAAACTACTGGTTGGAATTCAAAACAACTTCATACAATGGTCAAGCACAATAAGGGGAAGTGCAGTGCACAAGAACCATAACTCCATCTTGACTAATTACAGAGTTATTGCCCTTTGTTACTTTTCCTTGTCCAGAGCATGACTTGAAAACTACTGGTTGGAATTCAAAACAACTTCATACAATGGTCAAGCACAATAAGGGGAAGTGCAGTGCACAAGAACCATAACTCCATCTTGACTAATTACAGAGTTATTGCCCTTTGTTACTTTTCCTTGTCCAGAGCATAACTTGAAAACTACTGTTTGGAATTCAGTACAACTTCATACAGTTGTCAAGGACATTAAAAGGAAGTACAGTGCACAAGAGCCATAACTCCATTTTGACAAAATACAGAGTTACTGCCCTTTGGTACTTTTCCTTGTCCTGAGCATAACTTAATACGTACTGGTTGGAATTCAAAACAACTTCATACAATGTTCAAGCACAATAAGAGGAAGTGCAGTGCACAAGAACTATAACTCTATCTTCAGTTTTTATAGAGTTTTTGCCCTTTGTTCCTTTTCTTTGTCTTTCTGGACTTATTACAGAGTAATTCAATTAAACTTCATCAATGGCCAACCACATTGAAAGGATATGCAACATAGAAGAACCACAACTATCTTTAATTGCTAACAACCATAACTCTATATTTCAATTCTTTTACAAGGTATTCTGTTACTAGTAACATCCTCATTTCCGAAGCAGTCTTGTGGGGGTATTAATCACATTTAGTGATAGTTCTAGTTTAGTTTGCTGTGAAAGTGAATCTTTGCACCCTTATAGAAGCTTGCCTGAAGGTACTTTTTCTCGCTCAACGGATAGACCTCCACCCTGACATCAACCATGACTGTATTCTCTATATTCACCCTTTGTTACAAACTGTTTATATATCTTTATAGAGGAATGGAAGAGGCAGAGTTACAGTTACACATAGATAAATTACACGAGTACAATGAGATAAAAGATGTTGGTCAACTCGTGCTTGGAAGATTAGGTTAGTTATTTCTAATACTTTTGTTTAAAAAACAATAAAAAAACAACAAAGAAAAACAGTATTTATGAAGTAACGTAGAATCTGGAGCGATTTGCAAAAGGTGGCAAATGGATATATGGCAGAGTAAAATGTTGATGTTCTTATGTAACATTTGTAACACTTGTAACATGGTTACCACTTGCTTTTTCCCAATGCCACCACAATCAGATAACCAGACCCATTCCCAATGGCATATAATTATGCTTATTTTTTTCCCAGTTTTAAAATAAAATTCCCAATTGAACTGAAATTCCTGATATCCAAACTGAAAAATTTGCTGAAGTTCAATACTGTCTATCTAACAAATAGATGTTTCCTCACATTTATTGTCCAAACTTCATTGTATTGTTACCCTTTTTAATCTGAAATCAAAAACTGAGAATGGAATTTACCCTCACATTTTATAAGTAAATTTTATAAAAAATTTAATTTTAATTTTAGCATGCATGGTATATAGCAGAGGCTTATCTATATGGACAGCTTTCTGCCTTCCATTTAAATATACAAGTCAGATGCTGTAAAGCCATGGATCTGGTGAAACTGTGGTGCAGGATACGTGTGTGATACTAAAATTATCATATTTCACATTTTGCTATCACCACTCCTGATATATTTATTTTCATACCACTGAATGAAAATAAATCCTGTATTTGTAGAAAAAATATAAATATCCGTTATGTTTTGGCGCAGACCATTGTACTAATTATGTTTCTGACAAATAAATATTTGAATTCATTTTTTACTTTTTCAGCTAATCTAGAAGGAGTAAGGACAAAGGACTTGTACGATCAATATGGGCTTAACCTGGAGGATTAATTGAGGTCATATGTCGATTGCCTTAACCTGATATAAGATATTGTATCGGAGATGGATAAGAAGTTCAAAGGTCAAGGAATTATTCGTTGTTTCTGTGTGGTGACATCCAGTTGAAGGAAGATTTGAACAGCAAAAAAGAGAAGGAAGTGAATTTTGAACTTATGATAGTGATATGTTGAGTTGCTTGATGACTGGAGCAAACCTTTGCTGATTTCAAGGCGGCCGAAACCTTTTATTTTGTTTGTGAAAGTTGAAGCCGTCTGTGAAATGAAGTAATTTATGTGATGTCATAATTCGCATACAGTCAAACTTGTGAACAAAGGCCACCTGAGGTGATATTGACCATGAACTTTACAGACAAGGGGCCTTTATTTGGAGGTTACTATATATATTTGTTTAAATCAATAAAGGGTTGTTGAAGAGTGTACTTCATTTACAGGGTGATCTTAATTCATAGGTGGTTTTTAACACAGGTTTAACTATAGACAGATGAAAATTTATTTCTGTTAGGTAATAGTTGAAATGAAATTACAGCTTCTGTTTTGTCTTTTAGCATGTTGAGGCAACCGGAATTAATAACGGGCCTGCTAAATTTAAAAAAAATCAATTTTTTGCACTATTTCTAGCTGAAATACAGCCTTCAGAATAATGTCCCTTGTCTCACAACTTCACCTTGTCATGATAAACAAGTGTTGCTAGTTTGGTATTGATAAACCTTGTTAGTTGTTTGAATAATTGGTGCTACATTAAAGTTTTTGCATTACTAAAATGATGACTTTTTCTTCAAAGCAGATTGGCTTAAAAGAAAATAGTGCAGATAATTAGATTCTTCTTAATTCATCATGATATAAAGGTTACATTTTTAAAAAGTTTTCTGAACAATTGGTAGATATATTTAGATATACAGCTAGCATTAACACAATTCATTTCAAGAAACCATTTGTAAAAATATTTAAAACTTAAATGACTTAAGCTGATTTTTCATACTTCAATAAGCAAAACTGTCAAATTAACTATAATCAAGTTAGTTAGTCACTGTATCATCACTTTAGTGCAATAACTGGTTAAATCTTATATTATTTGGAAGGACTTAACCCGTTACAGCACTAAGTTGATGGTATGATTTCTACATGCAGCTGAAATAGAAAATTTATTCATTTACCCTCAAGTTTTTATTTAACACATTATAGAAATAACAATTGAATAAAATACTTTAATATATACTTTTTTCACTGTAAAAAATTATTTTTTCACTGCAGTGAAACATATTTTACATATTTTCACTGGTGATTTGCACTACTTTCTTCTAAATTCAGCTAATACACAAAATTTAAAGGGAATTCTCTCTATTCATTAGCTTAAAAAAGAGAAAAGGTATAATTATAATAAACAGAAAATTCAAGTTTTTTCAATCAATAAAGAATTTATTTGCATCTTGTGGTATAAAAATTATCATATTTCACTTGTGTATCTTTTGAATTAACAACATCAACAACAATAATCTAAAACCAATATGTAGTGAAACAAAAAAAAAACAAATAAAAGTCAAGATAATGATGAAAGTTCAAGGGTAAATAGTTCAGCAATAAGAAATAACCTTCTTGCATATTTAAACTTTAGCTTGTCAAGTGTTCATTAACATGTAATTGTGTTGTTGTGTCTTTTTTTTGCCATCTTATGTGACTTCTTGTTTAATGTTGTTATAAAATATATTTATACAATTTTATTTATCAATTTCCGATGACTTAATGCTATGTACCTGTACATGTTGTATTCAACTTGATTAAAAGTGTTGAATTTTCTGAAATTACTAATTTGTTAAAACTTTTTACATCTGTGAACTATAGAACTTTTACGGTATCAAATAGATTACTTTACTAAAAAAGTATAGGGTGACTCAATTGGCAGCCCCCAATTTTTACTTAAATACAGATAAAGATCAGTTGAACTCTTGTTTTTGTTTAAACTTATGTTCTTTATAAACTCTTTTTCTCTGCTCAGTGAAATACAAAACCAGTCTTTGATATAGATTAAGTTACCCAATTAAATTTAGATTCTTTTCATGCCTGATTTGTTAAAAGTTTTTTGGTTTTTTTTCTTTGTTGTTATTGGTTTTTTTTGTTTCTTTGTTGTTTTGTTTTGTATTTTTCTCGCATAGGTTATCATTTATGGGTCAAAGGTGAAAATGTTCTGTAATATTTATATGTATAGTAGGGTTACAAAATAAAATGATTTTGTTATTTATTTTAGTATTCATGATTTTCATTGTGTATTACTTTTAACTTTTTTTGTTCGGGTTAGTCATGGCATGTAAACCATTGTGCCCTTGGGTTGTATGCATAAAGATTTTTGTTAGATTAGTCCTCTATAATGACATGTATACTTTATAAAGCTTTTGATTGTTTGACCCTTTTAGAGCTGCACACCCCCATTATGAGTAAACGAGTTTTCAAAAAAATATTTCAGCAGAGGAAAAATGTAAAAGATAACTCAAAAATATTTATAAATTTTTTAAACTGTAAATGACTTTTCATGTAAAATATGAGGGAATATACTATTTTTATTTGTATTATTTTATTACTACCCAGTTTATAGCTCAGCCAGGACTATTTTTGACATATGTTTAGTTTCTGTTCATTATCTGACCAACAGTTGTACACATTCAACTCAAAGTTATTCCTCTTGAATGTTTGAAAATTTTTTAACTTTTGTAGAAATGTATGTATATGGTTGAAATCCCATGTTCAGGTATTATTAAACCAGAAAATACAAGTAAAGTTCCAATTTTTTTTTTGACAGAGATATCCTTCTTGAACTTAAAAAAAATCAGTTTCTGCTTAAACTTTTGTAGGAGTGTATGTCCGAGGACGACATTGCATGTGTTAGTATTTTACCAGAAAATACAAGTCAATTTCTAATTTAGTCATGGTGAGATGTTTTTTGACAGTTATCCCCCTTGAACTAGGAAAAGATTTAAAAATTCATTTAAAAAAAATTTCTAATCATTATCTCGGCTAACACTGAATAGTTTCATGGCCTTGAACTTTATATAAAAATGGTTTGTGTTAACATTGAATAGTTTAAAGGCCTTGAACTTAGAATGAAAAAATGGTTTCTGCAAACAAATTTGGAGCTGAATATTATTTTAACATTTGAAATTTTGGCTGCATGTGGGGGGCATTTGTGGGGTTACGACACATTTCTAGTTTATTAATTTATTGTCTTATTATTGTCACTTTTAAGAAATCGGTAAATTCTTGTTAGGTATCAAGGAAAGCTGGTTAGGTGGACTGATCACCAAGATAATGATCAAAAAAGTGTTACAGTTGGCATACAACCTGAACAAACGAACAAACAATCTTTATTTCAGGGCATTTGTGTTGAATCAAAATATCTTTAGTTATTTTGTATAAGGCTTTGAAAACTTGATATTTATGCAATATTAATAGTGATTAAGGATAATTATATTCATTTCAAACCACTTTCCCCTCACCTCTGTTGGTTTGAATCCCACAAGTTAAAGGTTTTTGGTTGTACTATAATGGTTATACTTGAAATAATGCACCAAAGCGCCTCCACCACTAATTTTTTGTTGCATATCTGACTGGTGTTTCCGTTAGTTTTACCCATGCTTGAAATTTCATCTGGCATGGGGGTGCCAGATGAGTTGTGTGCTATACAATGGCATGCTTAGGATGATGTAATTTCGCAGTTATGAAAGAAGTTGTAATTTCAAACGTTGTTGTGAGAAAATACTTATGGGTGTAATGACATACATTTCCATGGTAAATTGTTTTACTAAGGTAAAAAATTTAAAAAATGATTTGATATGGAAGAATATGCAAGAAAAAATGTCTGAGACATTTGTTGTTAGGATCGGGATATCCTTTCCAAGGGGACCACCCACTGGGCAGAAACGAGGCTTGCCAATAATATTGATTTGGAATTTCTCCATAAAAACATTGCCATGCATGCGTGACTTAAAACCCGAACAAATAATAATTTTTCTTTACTTGAAGTCTTTAAAAAGTTGTTACTTGCTTCATTTATAATATAATTATGTATATTTTAGCAATTTTTAATATATTTTTTCTTAAAGTAAAAGTAAGACATTTTAAACATTTGCATCTGAGGCTTTTGAAAATAATGTTTGATCATGTTAAGGTATTACAAACTGGCTTTCTAATGATATCACTCAATTTATTAGAGACTATGTCCATACTGGTATATTGCTTATGTTTAATATATTGGAAGCATTTAAGTCCGTGGCTGAGTGGTTACGGTCATGACCAAAAAATCATACTGCTTGCTTCTCGCTGCTGTAGTTCAGGTCACGCAAGTGTCATTGGATTATACATGTCAAATAGCTATCCAGCTAGCTTACGGAACATTGGTTGTTCTTGCTAAGGTGCAATGAAAAACCCTACCCAGAAAAAATAAAAAATTCTTTAACTGGTATCCATTTCATGATTTGTAGCATTTAACTTACAGACAGGCATCCAGTAGTGGCATTTAATTCCTAGACTGGTATACATTTGTAGAATTTAATTTATAGACTGGCAACCAGTGGTAGCATTTATTTTCATAGACAGGAATTCATTTGTAGCATTAAACTCCTGAACTGGCTCCCAGATGCGGCATTTAATTGATAGGTATTATAATTGATTCATATACTTGCATATGGTGGTAGAATTTATTTCCATAGACATGCATTTCAATGGTAGCATTTAATTCATACACTAGCATTCAGTGATAGCATTTGATTTCATCCACTGACATCCAGTGATAACATTTAATTTCATCCACTGACAACATTTAATTTCATCCACTGACATCCAGTGATAACATTTAATTTCATCCACTGACATCCAGTGATAACATTTAATTTCATCCACTGACATCCAGTGATAACATTTAATTTCATCCACTGACATCCAGTGATAACATTTAATTTCATAGACTGACATCCAGTGGTGGCAATTAATTTATAGACTAGCATACAGTGGTAGCATTTAATTCATATAATGTGATTTAGTGGTGGAACTTGATCTATAGACTGGTACTTTAGATTGATACTTCGTTGGTAGAATCATTTGATTCATAGACAGGTGTGCAATGGAGCTTGGATATAAAATGACACTGTAAAGGTTTTCTCTTATATTTGGCAAGTTGAGGAAGAATTTGGGTGCCCATTTGTTCATTGTCTTTGGTAGAGTGTCATCCAAGTAGAACCACTAACCTACTGTAAGCTAGCTTCCCTATGTGAAAGAGCCAAATGTCCCTATCAAACCCACAGCCGTGAGGGCAACTGAATTTAAGTCAGTGACCAAAACCACCAGGCCGTGTAACATCCAGTTACTAGCATTTTATTCATAGATGGATATCCAATGCTTTCATTTTATTCAGACTACCATCAAATTAGTATACTGGCATCAATTGAAGTATTCAATTTATACCGATGTCCACTTTATTTCAGAGACAAGTGATCGGGTGGTAGTATTAATTAATTAATTCATCAATGGCTGGTATTCAGTTGTCAGGCAGCATTTGATATTGTAGACCATTGTCCGCAGGTAACATATAAGACGGATGGGTATCTATGTTAGTATTTGACTCAGTTTACCAACATTCTAAGACTGGTATCCAATTGTAGTTTTCTTTTTATTTCATGATTCAATGGCATCATGACTTGTATTCAATGCAGGCATTTATAAATTCAGACTGGTAGCCTACTTGTATTCAATCCTAGCATTTATAAATTTAGATTGGTAGCTGACTCGTATTCAATGCTAGCATTTATAAATTTAGACTGGTAGCTGACTTGCATTTATAAATTTAGACTGGTAGTTAACTTGTATACAATGCTAGCATTTATAAATTTAGACTGGTAGCTGACTTGCATTTATAAATTTAGACTGGTAGCTGACTTGCATTTATAAATTTAGACTGGTAGTTAACTTGTATACAATGCTAGCATTTATAAATTTAGACTGGTAGCTGACTTGCATTTATAATTTTGACTGGTAGCCGACTTGTATTCAATGCTAGCATTTATAAATTTAGATTGGTAGCTGACTCGTATTCAATGCAAGCATTTATAAATTTTAGAATGGTAGCTGACCCGTATTCAGTTGACTTGTATTCATTGCAAGCATTTATAAATTCAGACTGGTAGTTGACTCGTATTCAATGCTAGCATTTATAAATTTAGACTGGTAGTTGACTTGTATTCAAAGCTAGCATTTATAAATTCCGACTTGTAGTTGACATGTACCCAAAGCTAGCATTTATAAATTTAGTCTGGCGGTCCAATAATACTGGTATTAGACTGGTATTTATTCTTATTGTAACTAGAAATGTGTCATCATGCCACGGATGCCCCCGCATGCAGCCAAAATTTCAGATGGTGCATTAATTAATTTTTTCATTTTAAGTTCAAAAGCCCTTAAAACTTTTCAATGTTAACAAAAACCATTTTCATACAATGTTCAAGGCACTGAAATTATTCAGTCTTAACCTTTTAAAAATAGCATATTGCATATTTGTAGCCAAAATAATGACTAAAAGTATGAGTGCTGAAACTGAAAGTTTAAAAATTTTTCCAACATTCAGGAAAGATAAGTTTGTCTAAAATCATTGAACCACGACCAAATTCAAACTTAAACTGCCTATTCCTAAGATGTATCTATATTATTTTCAAAGTGAAAGGGACATAACTCTGCCAAACCATGACCAAATTCCAACTTGACCTGCCCATTCCTTTGACATATCCATATGTCAAATTTAAGTTGAATATGTAACACTGTTGTGTAGATAATGAACAGAAACTGTAAATTTCATATTATTTTCAAAGTGAAAGGGGCATTACTCTGCCCAAAATCAATGAACCATGACCAAATTCAAACTTGACCTGGGCATTCCAAAAACATATCCATAATTATGTCAAATTTGAGTTGAATGTGTTGTACCATTGGGGAGATAATAAACGGAAACTGAAAATTTCATATTACTTTCAAAGTGAAAGGGGCATAACTCTGTGCCAAAGATCATTGAACCATGACCAAATTCGAACTTGGCCTGCGCATTCCTTTGACGCATCCATATGTAAAGTTTGAGTTGAATGTGTTGTACCTTTGGTGAGATAATGAACGGAAACTGAAAATTTCATATTATTTTCAAAGTAAAAGGGGCATAACTCTGCCAAAAGTCATCCAACCATGACCAAATTCGAACTTGACCTGTATTTTCTCACGACATATCCATATGTCAAGTTTGAGTTGAATGTGTAGTACCGTTGGGGAGATAATGAACGGAATCTGAAATTTCATATTATTTTCAAAGTAAAAGGGGCATAACTCTGCCAAAAATCATCGAACCATGACCAAATTCGAACTTGACCTGTATTTTCTCATGACATATCCATATGTCAAATTTGAGTTGAATGTGTGCAACCGTTATTAAGATAATGAACGGAAACTGATGATGACGGAATGACAGAAGGACGGAACAGGGTAACACTATATGCCCCGGCCATTACATGGCGGGGGCATAAAAATGCTGAAACTTTTAAGAAAAACAACACAGTCTGTTGTTACAACAATTAAGTTTAATACAGAATTATTGCAAATTTTACATACAACTTTTATATATTAAAAGTAATTTACAGTAAGAGCCCTACTTAATTATATATCCACAAGAAAAAAAATCATGAGTATTTAAAAATGACATAAAAATGTGATTCTCAAAAAAGATTTTTTTTTCTCAACTTCTGTCTTAAAATTTTACAAAATATGGACTCAAAATGTTCCGGAAAAAATATAAGAATGACAATGAATGATAAGAAAAATGTAAAAATGAATGATTACGAAAAATGTAAAAAAATAATAACCGGTATGAACTTTGTCTTATTATCTTGTTTTGTGAGGTAAGATCAGATATTTTTTATATCAAATTGATTTCCAAGAAAAGATTAAAATTATGTCTACAAAACTAATACTAGTGGAAATAAACACACACAAAATGTTCCCTGATAAATAGATATAAAATTCCACATAACAGTTTCTATGGCTACAGAAAAGATAATTTTTGCAGTCCATTTTTAAAAACAAAAATCACTGTTTGTTTTTTTATCTGTTTCATGAGATTCTTCAATTGTGGTAAGCAAAGTTAGTCGTTTTCCATGAATTCTTCAGTTTAAGGTTGGCTTTGTTTAGTTTGTCCATTCTTCTGTGCAATGAAATAAAAAGGAAGGAAGATTTGCCGTGCATTGTGGTTATATCTATGTAACTGGAGAATATATGATGAGATATTGAGGGATATTTTACTTCTTCTTCTTTCCGCCAGCGCGTTTCACTGCCTTCTTGGCACCACCTTTCGCCGCTTTCTTAGTTGCACCTGTAACAAAAAAATTATCAGATAATAATAACATTAAAAATTATCAGATGATAATAACATTAAAAATTATCAAATGGATTCTTTTAATCTGGAACAATAATTGTTTTCCCTTATATGTAAAATTTCAAAATATTTACTATCTTAATAATTGTTTTCCCTTATATGTAAAATTTCAAAATATTTACTATCTTAATAGCAAATCTCAGTCTGCAATCAGGTCATAAGTCATGCTTAAATAAAATGTGTTTCCACCAACAAGTTAAAGCAGCATGCCTCCAGATTTATGCTAATTATTATGAAAATTTCGAAAAAGTATTCAAAAGTAACATATTTGTGAAGAGAACAAAGAAATAAATTTTCACATTGCAAACAGCACTAAGAGCTCATTTAAATTACCAAAAATGAGGTCAAATTATGCAAATTTAGGATTTACTGCATTCGTAAAGTGGTAGAAATATAGTAAAAATTACTGCAAAATCGATCATAAATTGCACATCGCATGGAAGTTATAACTTTTATCTCAAATATTTTACTTTTCTTAAAATCTCGATATGTTTTTCACAACATCTGGAGGCATGCAGCTTTAAGTCCACTTTTTAAAACTTTACAAAAATTAGTATACTGCTTATTATACTACCTTGATATTAATTATAAAAATATACATAATTACATATATTATTTACATTGCTGACTATCACATTACAGAAATAGCTTGTTTTTTGTATATTATTTATGCACAAGTATGCTTGAAACCAAAATATTTCAAGAAAATCAAACTTTAGAAAAAAAAGTACTGAGATATTAAGAAAAAAAGAGATAAAAGCAAAGATTTCCATGCTATGTGTGATTTATGACCAATTTAACAGTATTTGTCACCATAATTCTACTGCATTACTGACTCATTTTGGTAATTTACAATTGGGTTGTTAGTGCAGTTTTCAACGTGAAAATTATTTTCTTTGCTCACTTTACAATATTTTACTTTTTTTATACATTTTCAAAACTTTCATGAAAAATTGCATGATTCTGGAGGTGATACAAGTTTATACATGATCACAAGTTTAAAATCTGATTTACATCTGTAGTGCCTATTGTCAAACCTGGAGACAAAGGCCACCAGCATTAAGTACAGTCCAACCCTGATTAGTTGATAGGAGCTTAATGATAAGTGGTTATCAAGTATCTTAATAAGTTGTCAAGATGCTGGTGTTGTTTTTTTGTTGGTTTTTTCATTTTATGAGACAGGTTATGGCTTCATTTCAATACTGATTTAAAATGAAAAATTAAGATAATTACCCTTAGGTCTGCCACGTCCTTTGGTAGCCTTTGCTGAAAGTAGATAATTCAAATTACAGGTACATCAAAACAAAAAAGAAGACATAATAGCAAACAGATTAAACACAATGTTTATTCATAATCATATTTAAATGACTTATGATAATTTGCACATCTTTTTCATCATTGAAAATCTTTTGTCCTATTACCCCATTTAACACTTTCACTAACATGTGTCCAATTTTATTGACTGTCCTGGACAGGGCTTCCATTAGGTTTCAAAATTTGGAAGTCAGAGACTGCAAATTGTCTGACATATGGAATTCACATTTTATAGGTAAAGAAGAAAAGGCATTATATTTTGGATGTCACAAGCCAAAATCATTGAGGAAATGACTCCCAAACTTCCACTAATGGAAGTCCTGCTTGGAGATAGAATTTCTTTCTTTACCTTGTTGTTTTGGCTCATTTCTAAATAATTGCAAATTGGTATTTATTCATTATAATATATATAAATCGTATGACACATTGACAATATACGTTATTGATAGATTCCCTGTCAGATCCTGACTTGCATATTGTCAGGGATGTGTATATTTCCAGAATCCTGATAATATATATATTATATTGTGCATAGTTAAATAGGCTTTGTTAAACATAGAGTAAAACACATTCCATTCTGCTCACCATAAAGATTAAATCAAAACCGTAAATACTGTCTCATTAGCCTATTTATTTTTCAGCATCATTTAAGGACTGTAGAAATATGCATACTTACGTTTTTCGGCTTTAGGGGTAGTTGCCTTTTTGGGACTTGCCTTCTTTGAAGCTGCCATTTTAAATTTTTCTGAAATCGATAAAAGATAATATAATAAAAAAAATGCTTTGATTAAACTTGGTCCATCCAATGAAATAATACTTGCAGAATTTTAAGTAAACTATTTTTTGCAATCAATAATTTCACGCCTATAACATGTTAATTGATCATTCTTATATATCATAATTATTATTTGACTCGACTTTTTTTTTCATTTATATACTGTATACACTTGAATTAATTATTTTAAACTGGTATAACAATTCGTTTTACAGGTTAATGACATCGGGAGAAAAATCTAAAAATGTATACATATGGATGTCTCTGCAGTTTTTCATAAATTATATTGCATTAAATTGCGCCGAGATAACATCTCATAAAACAAAGAAGCAATATTTGTATATATTTGTGGACATCGTTGATGTCAACCAAGAGTTTCCTCATCATTACTAGAGTTCCATATTTATTAATTACTAAGACACGTCTGCAAATCGGCGCTATTACGTTTGACAAGAACCGAATAATTCCTATTCCGTAATCAATTTTGACCGCCGAAAATAATTTTTATCTCGATTTTCGCATGGTCATTTCCAATTGCATATGATATAGGACGATTAAGTACAGAATACTTGCTATATTTCACCTGAAAACTAGTGCCAGATGAGCCAGGTTAGCCTGCAAAAAAATTCTATCGTAAGTGGTTCATCGACACAAAACAACAAAAATGGCGGACAAATTTACTTAAGCAGTATTGAAGCGCTCCGAGGGTCATTAAGCCGACTTCAAATGCGGCTTTTTTGATAAAATTGTATTAAACACTTTGAAAAAACGTGTTAATACAATTTAGTTTATGATTACATTACTAAATAAATGCATGTCAAAATAAAATTAATGTTACCAGATGCGAAATTGAATTTTCTATGTTTCCTCTTGGATCAAACGCTCCGCAAAGTGACGCTAACTTCAAAGGCGGTTAACAAACAAAGCACTGCCGCTTACAGTAAGAACCAATCACCGCAATGCTATCGGTTCCCATGATGCATCTAGCCAATCAAATCAATCGAAACATCGCGTGAGAAACGCGATGACCTGAGTAACCTGTTATTTCGAGCGTTTTCATTGGACGCGCATAAATTAGCGGCCAAAAATAGCAATATTTGTTTGTGTATACATGCGGATACTTGCGAACATAAACAAAGCTGACCTTGATAGTAACGATTATAGTAAATCGCGCGCATTTCGAAAAGAAATGAATGATTTGAATTTTTTTAAATATTGGTAACATTTTAAAGATGAGAAAGAACGCTTTTCTGACACAGCTGTATCTTTGTTAGGAGTATGCGCGCATAAGTAAACAGTTAAAATAATATATCTAAATATATAATAATTATGTTTGATTTTTTTAAATACACACAATGGCTTAATTAAATTACAATTAATTAAGCCGTGGTTACACATAATAACAATTTCCAAAAAAGTGTATAACAATAAATTCTAGCAACATTAGCAAATATAAAACTATACCTACACTAGCAGACTTACATAGATATGATATTGTAGCTATATAATTTTGTATGTATACTAATTAATCTTAAAATTAACAAATATATTCGATATGTAACAAAAACATATAATATTAATAAATACCATGCTAAATACAAGTAGACAAAGATTTATAATCAATTTGACTGAAAAAATTATACTTTATTATTTCATTCGTGCAACAGTGGTTCATATAAACGAAATCACGGCTTTATAGTTGATTAATTTAAACTAAGATATATATTACTCATTTTTAATACGAAATTACTGCATATATAGATATATGTGTATAAACTATAATGTATTCCACAGAACTCTGTTTCTGCCCTAGCTGTATCACACAGTATGGGATCGCCTATTATAGAAAAAGCTATGCTATTACGATAATAATATTATATTTTAGCTACTAGTAAAATGATTATCTCTAATTTATGTGAGATTTGTTATAGGAACTCCACTGAGGCCCCTAAAGCTAAAAATACATAACATTTGAATTTTTTACATTGATCAAGTTGGACGCAGAAAGATATAGAAATAAAGAATTATACTCAGAAATAAATCGATGATTGTTATATTTTAGTGCTATTTCCAGCCCGTGAAAAGCGTTGCAACGCTTTTCAATTTGGGTATTTTTTTCACAATTAGAATAATTATTCTGGATAAGCGGAGTCACGGACCTGAAATTTTGCCGACAACTTATTGGTATATAGACCTACATCAAAGGGAACATTAATTTCGAGGGATTATTTTCGGTCACGTCATGTAAAAAACATCTTGAGAGTCTCTTTTAAGCACTAAATCAGCATAAATTCGAGAGGAAAAATAAAAAAAACGTCATGTTTCGTTAAGCAAGTGCCTTAAAAAGATTGATGATGATAAAAATGATAATAATGATAATAATAAATATTGTTATAAAATGTTGACTGCTGAAGCATTTATCGTATTTTCAGTGTCCTCTCTCAAAGCACTGCGTTAATTGTTCAATTAAGTATTCAATAATAAATAAATAAAAATAGTAAACGACTAAGCGCAAATATAGTAATTGCATTTGTATTGTCAAAAAAAAAAAAAAAAAAAAAAAAAAACGATTATCAACACTGCTTTCTGAATTATCACTCAACTAAAATAATTAAAGCTTAATTATACCCAGCCCCGTGTTCACTAACAATTAAAGATCTGGATCAAATATGATCTTGATTTTATTTTCATTGAATTGATCGTATATTCCCCTAAAACTAAATGGTACATAAAATGTTTTTAAAAATGGTGATTTTTCACAGAAACAAGCCTATTTAGAGATGATATCAACAAATAACAACACATACATGTATACAAAAATAATTGGATTCAATTTTAGGATCAGGATCAATTTTTGAATCAACTGTAAAATGCTTGTTAACTAACAATAAATTTCTTTTGAAATTTTCAAAAATATGCTATTTTAAGTCCAATTCTATCAAGTTAATTTTGAAGTATAAACAATGAAGTTTATTTTGGTTTTTAAATTTCATCCTGATCCTTAAATCTTAGTGAACATGGGAACAAGGTGAACACGGTTACCTGAGAGAGTGGTGTAATTCCGTGGTGCCAAAATCGTGGATTTTTTATCGTCTCTTTTCATTGTAGTTGAAGTCGCAGAAGCACTTGGTCGCAACAGCATGACACTTCCTGCTGACAGCTCACTACCATCTGCAGTTGGCCTGGATGTCACTGGAAATTTATCTACAGTCAGTCTGATGATAGATCTCTTAGGCTCAGTATCTACATGACAAGAGTTGTCAAACTTCAAGCCTTTATTCCATGGTGAGTGCCCTTGCTTGAACCAAAATAATTTCTTCTTTCGGTCGCCTCGCATGATTGTACAGCAGTTGTGTATAATATGAAGGGAAGTTGCTCTTTAATAAAGAGTCAGGAGCTGGGTCCATATATATACAGTAAATGGAATTTCATCACAGGTGGCTGTCAAGAACCACCCAAAGGGACCCAGACTTTGGCATTCCTGGGTGATAATTAGTACCTAGCATCTGTGCATTGCACCACATTGACTGAGCGGCCACCTGGGGAGGTGATTATTAGGCAGTGGCACTTTTCTGCTGGACATATATATTTTGAACCAGATGGCTTATGATAATTAATGAAACATTTTAAAGGTAAATTGCACGCCTTTCAAGAAATAACCGGTTTGACAAAATGAAAAATTACAAAAATTATGTCATGCAGTTATATTATTATATATGTAATATGTACATGTATTTGGTCTAATGAAAATATATATAAAAAAAATATTTATGATAGTTTTAGTTGGATCTTTAAGTAATATTTGAATCACTGATGGTATTGCTTTTTATATGATAAAAAATCATCCAAGTAATAAAAAAGTTATAGCAATTTGAGTTTTAGAGTACTTTTAATTTTGATAAGCTTTGGTCTGGCTTCAAGGCTGAATGGTACCTATGGTACAGTCATCACCATATGTGATTAAGACTTGGAACTTTCCAAAATTATAAGAGATTGTATAGGAATGATGTATACCAAATTTCATTAAGATCAGATGAACATTTTTAGTGAATAGAAATCAGTCCATAGTAATTTGCCTTTCGTTCACAATAAGGAAGTAAATCAGCACAAAAGAGTGCCTGTGTTTAATGCCAGATATAAAATGAATAATTCATTAAAAGAGATAGATAAAAGGACATTTTTTGACAATTCAATTCAAAAAGTTGATAAATGCCAATTTTGATCCAGTTTTTACGTGAATAAGTATTATTTTAGTGTTTTTTTACATGACAGAAGTCAAATGGTTCCGGCCGATTACTGAGAACTGTCAGACTGATGTATTTTGAACTGAAATGCTGTGAAAAAACGCCGCATGACCAGTTTGCTATAGCTGGAATTATTTATCTTGGACGATACTGTAAGCATAAGTGGCTTTTTTGATTTGAGTGGAGAGTTAGTAAAATTGCCTCAGGGTTTAATGTTTATATAGAACATATAGTGAAATTAATCCTAATCTGAGGCCAGCAGAATATAATTAATTAACTAGTGATATTGCTTTAAAGTCAGTAAACAGACTCTCAGATTACTATGCAATTTCTTCTTACATAAGCAATCCTTAAGGACTATGATCCCGTAACTCATTTTTTTATGGTTTTAAATCATAAATATGATGCTCAATGAAGATTTATCAATATTGTTAGTTCAAAGAAGCATTATTTGTTAAGATATTACCGAATTAAACATTTTATGTAAATAAAGGGAGGTAATTAGAAAAATATTTTCGATAAATTCTAAGCCAATTTTTTCAATAAGAAATGCAAATGCATACATTTTAATGATTAACTGTAATGCGAATAAACATTTGCAGTACATATTTAACATATTCTTCGATGTTTGGAAACTGGTTTAGAAGAATAATTAAAATATAAAAAACATATATAAAACTTCACTTAACTGTAGTTACATCCTTAGTTACAACAAACAGGATCTTTAGAGATTTAATGATGTGTATGTTGTATGTAGACCCATAAGTCCGCTAGAATTATACATGTATGAGCCTGGACAGTTTTTGATTGTATTTTTTGTTTGTAGAAAAATATTCTTAACAAAAATATTATAGTGTATGATTATACTCAACATCATTAATTCCGCGCCATCACTTATTTCACGGTAATGGCATATTTTCATGAGACCAGTGTCAAAATTGGTCAGAATTGACATATTTTATTCATACACCTAAAAAACATGGTTTTTGTGCAAAATATTTTAAATCTCTAGATTTTTACGTAAAACAGAACAACATTTTACAAATTTCTGCAAAAATTAAAGCAACAATTGTCCATTGAATTTGTGCGTATGTCTGAAACAATCATCATGTTTTTGTTTGTTGAAAAAATAGATTTTGAGTTACAAAGTAAGGATAGTTTTAATATTTAAATTAAGCAAAATAACATGTAGAAATTTTAACTGAAACATGAAAAAACTTAAATGTAACACCATCATCGCGATTTAAATGATGACATACTGTTTTCAAAATGGCCGACATATGGTCTACGTTTGGTCCATTGAAATTGACTTTGACTGAATATATTGCTGTTTCCTTGTGCCATACAGCAGAAAATACCTATATGTTATAGCTTATGACAATTTTTGTACCATAAGTTTCATTTGTTGTTTTCTTCTGGGTTCAAAGCGTTAAGTACCGTGAACTAAGAGGAGCACAGTATATATGACAAGAGCGCATAACATTTAATTAATTGGAAATATGAAAATGAGGACGTAAGTACGGTGTACTTTTTCATCCAGTAACACGCGATAATTATCGCCTCAAAAAGGCAAAATTTAGTACTAAATTTGTTTTCTCGATTGTTTGAAAGCCTAAATACCTAAATTAATGAGGAAAACGGCACAAATGGTAAAAAGTTAGCCCATGGGTAATGCATTACCTCCACTTTGAAGATTATTCAAATAGGCTAGAATCACTTGTCAACTACATTGAAATTGA